CCAGCACTCCTGGGGTGCAGCTTCCCACTCCCCCCAGTCTAGTGCAAGTTCCTGATGGCCCTGCCAGCCCTTAACCCCCTACTTTCTCTGTCAGCTCCAGCAGCTATGAATAAGCTGGGTGAGAACACCCTTTCCTGGAACCTTCCACAGGGTGATCTGGAGCCATGTACCTTTGGAGGCTCTAGAGCTGCTCCCAAGCTGCACTGAAACCAGCCAGCTGCAGTCTTGACTACTAACATTGTCTCCAAAACTGAGAGGCTAAATTCAAGCTCTTTGAGATGGTTCCTGTGCTGGTCTCTAAGCAATGCCCAGTCATTATTTGAGAGACTACAAGCTGGTCCTAACCAAAAATCATGCCAGCTCAGTGGGGCAGACCATCATGCTCCAGTGCCAGGCAGCTGCTATGGTACAGTTTACCATATAGCCTTGAGATGCAGTAGAAATACAGACTGAGTACAGTTCAGGTGCAACTCACATCCAAGGCGTGACTGAGCCACGTTAAGTATCTACACAGGAGCAGTGTGGTCTCTGCCAGTGCTGGTCCATGGGGTGTGGTTTTAATTGTGCAGCATTCTGAAACACGTATGCCAGTGCCTCTTTCCCTGCCTCTGCTCCTCCCAAATCCCTCTACACAAACACTCCATGAACTGGACTGGTGGATCAGTCTGAGCTGAAATGCCAACCCGCTGCTGTGGCAGGGAGGGAGGCTGTCAGTGGAGAGCCCTCGGGTGCAGCAGCAGGGCAGCACCCTGCAGCACTGCCAGGACTGGGGCTGAGACAGGCAGCACTGCTGCTACCACAGCAGGGCAGCACCCTGCAGCACTGCCAGGACTGGGGCTGAGACAGGCATCACCCTGCAGCACTGCTAGGACTGGGGCTGAGACAGGCATCACCCTGCAGCACTGCTAGGACTGGGGCTGAGACAGGCAGCACTGCTGGAATCAGCCTCTCCAACCCACAGCCAGTACTGCTGGCTAAAAAAAGCAGCTTACCTAGGGTGCCACTAGGTGCCAAATGTGACACAAGGCCCCAGCTGCAGCCCAGGCAAAGCACTCCCAGGCAAAGCACTTCCAGCTTTGCTTTGGTCTGCAGCAACATCCTCTGGCCAGCCAAGGAATTAGGAGCAGGCGGTGGACAGGAAGTGGGCAGGGATGCAAGGAGTTCCCACGCTTCTCCTCTCCTGCCAACTAAAACAGCAGCTCCCAGCTATTCTGCACATGCCCTGGGTGTAGCTTTTAGATCACAAATAGTTTCCAGGGCAAAAGCCACCCATGCTCTGCCAAGTGAAAGGGGGGAGTTGTGGAAAATACCTAGTCAGCAGTTTTCCAAGTCCAGGTGCAACACAGCTGTGCTGGGAGGGTGATGCTGGCTGAGGGGACAGCACAGCTCGCTGCTTCTGGGGTCTGGTCAAGTTTCAGGTACTTTGAACACGACAAGAAATATAATGGGGTAGAGAGGGAGACCTTTAACTCAGCAACTGCCAGATCTACAACTGGACATTAACTACAGAATCTGAAATAATCTGACTTTGGGAAGTTCAGGGAGTCCCAGATATTCAGCAGCAGATGACATTTTCTAAAGGCCCCATGCTCCCTATGAAAGTGTAGCACAATATCTTGATTTGAGGGCATTTTTGACTATTAACACAACCAGGAAGAAAATGTTGAAATAAACTGCTAACAGCGTGGAATCAGAAAGATCAAATTTCTGTTTGAGGGAAGCACATTTTAACAAGAGCAGAAAAATAAACCTGAGTTCCTGCAAGAAGCTAATGGGGCATGGCATTTAATGTCCCTTCAGGACCCTTTTGTGTTTGCAGCTGGGCATCAGCAGCCACGAGGTGACGCTGTGCCACATCAGTCTGTAGAAAAAACATCTGGCTGAAAAAATCAGGCAAAGCTTTAAACACTCGGGTGCTTTAAAATTATATTATAGTCCCTCTAGAAGCTGGTGAATACACCCTCTAGCTGTGCTACTCCTGTGCTGCAGCTGGGGTGATTTGCTTCATGGAATCACATCCTGTCTCCAGTCAGGAGGAGAGATGGTGCCATGGGAAAAGCTGTTAAAACTGAAACCCTAACACGTCTGTATTATTCCTCCATTTCAGGAAACCAATGAGGAAATGCCTGAGGCCACAGCCTCTGCCCTGGCTTCCACCAAGAGCTGCCACCCCTGCTCTGTGCTGCAGCAGCACCTGCAAAATCTCAACTACATTTTTCTGTCTCGAGCAAAGAAACAAGGAATAGCACATACAACCATCTGGAATTGAGAGCAAAGCTGAAAATGGATGTTTAATGCTGAAAGAGGTGCTGGGGTCTGCTCTGAGGCATGTGAGGCATCAGGATCTGGTTCCCAGCCTGCTACTGTGATATGCTTTCACCCTTTTTGCTCCCAAGCACTAACTGAATATAATTAAGGTTGCTCAAGTCTTTAAAGGCAGCTGCATGCTCCACCAGCGCTTGTCACCTGGCCTGAGTGCCTATCAGTGCTGCCAGCTTACTGCTGGATGGTAAATTGTGCCAGGGTTCAGCTGTGAAACACAACACTGATGCACATCACACCCAGGAGAAACCCAGCTGTGACAGCAGAACAGTGAGTCCTGTTTGCAATTCTGCTCTCTTCTGACTGGTGTCAAAGGTCTCTTCTACTTCCACTGGCCAGAATCTGCTCCTTCAGGGGCTATTTCTTATCAGACTTTCTTACTGTAATACATCCTTGCTGCCTTTCCTCTTCCTGCCTCACCTTTCCCCCATTAACTCTGTTGAATTAACTCATCCTTTCTTCTCTGAAATTTCTTTGCTTATCCTCCAATTTGGACAACTGAACAGGGCAAAGCAAGCAAGTTCCTACCACAAGACAGAAACTGCAAATGACTTTAGAAGCTGTCAAGACTGAGAGAAATCACCCTAAAATTACCAGCAATGCAATGAAGATGATATCCCTTTCCAGAAACTGCCTCCCCCAGCCTCCTGGGAAGGGTGGGACTGCACAACAACCTAAAAGACTAAATTGCACCCAGCAAACAACCAAAACCTGGTGCTCCAAAATGTTTCCTCCCTCCTTTTCACAGGCATGTGACTTTTGAGGCCTCAAGGAGTCAGAATAGGAAGCCCACGACTTCTGTCTCTGCCATCTCAGGTTCAGGAAAATAAAGGGCTACCAAGAAAAGCTTCAAGTTTGCCCTGAAACTACCTGAAACTTCTCTTAGATGTCTTTAGTATCTTTGAGAAATACTGGTAGCTCTCTGCTGTCTTTGTCTGGGTGCAACCTGAGCTGTGAGCTTCCTCCCAAAAAAGAGGCAGCAGCAACAGCTGGATGAGGAGACACACAAGATGCTCAGCATCACTGCTGCCTCACTGGTGGCACTGCTGTGTGCTGCACATACTTGGCCTCACTGGATGACCAAGGCCCCACATGCCTGCTCCAGGCTGAGTTTTGAGGACCCTAATGGACATCTCTGTGCTGCAAAGCCTGACATCATTCCCACCCCTGGGTCTGCACCACAACCTGGGGTGGCCAAGGTGATGCTATAGGTTCCTTACCACCATTTCTGCCAGAGAGGGAAGTCTGAAGCAGGGAGTGGGGCATAGTGACTGCCACACTACCCCAAGGGCCACATCTTAAATTCCTCAGCCTCTACAGTTTGCTCCTTGTCATTAGTTCACTGGTATCTACTGTTATAGTGAAATGTCTCTACTGGCATTAGAAAAGAAAAATGAGGGCAGCTCCATTGCCTTTCTGGTATGTTATTAGCCAGAATATACATCACTTCAGAACAGGGCTAAGATACTGATTTCTGCATAGGAAAACTCACAGCTTATTAGAATTATTAAAGATACAGCCATGATATTCACACATGGAAAAAGAAGGAAAATGAATACCAGCAGCCTCTATTCCCACAAGTAAAGATAAATGGGAGAAGTCGGGAGGATTACTCCTAAATGAGAGGCCCTCAGAGGAGAAAGTAGTGCTGGAATAAGCTCCATTCACTCTGCAGGAGGGTTTGGAGTTTAAAGAGCAAGGTAAACAATATGCCAGTACAAGATGTCTATTTTTTTTTCTTCAATTTCCAAACCTTACTTCGAGGTTTTTCTTTAAAACCTGTCTAAATAAAGGGTTCTCATACAGAACCCTGTCAAGTTTCTGACTGGAAAATTTAGTTTGTATTAAAGTAATCCTTAACCCACTGATGTGCAGTTCAGTGATAGAAATGATACCTAAAGAGCAAAACTGAGGCATGCAATGCAGAATGTTCCTAGGTCCTAAATATTTCTTTCAATTTTTGAATTTATTACTTTATTTTGACAACTTTCGTGTATCTGTGGAGAGCAGTGTTTATCTAACAAAAACCACACAGCTTCCAAAGCCAAGATGAAAGATGTCGTTGATTTTTGACCTCATCACCAGCTGATATATATGCTGCTCTTATTCTTGGAATGGAAAAAAAGCCCAGAAGGTAAATCTCAACTCCCTTAGAAGCAAATCCATTATTTGTTAGAGACTGAAATGTGCCTTCAGGACGAGCCAGACTGCAGTTGCAGCGGATTGGCAAACATTAAAGGGCAGCTTTATGTTCACATTTTAAACCTTCTGTTTACGAGCCCGACCCAGGAAAAAGCAGGAACCGAACTTTAAAAAGTCGGCATATTTCTACAAGTCAGGAAAAGAAACTTCCAGTAGCACTGGGAGACCGAAAAACGGGATGGCCCCTCTGGGGACCGTGTTTGCCTTGCATCGGAGACTGGAAACGCCAAGAGAACAGCAAAGACAAAACGCCCAGAGAGCAGCAAAGAGAAAACGCAACAGAGCCTGGAGCCTGGCTCGCAGCGGAGATCAAAAGAATGTAACGCTGCTGATGTTCGGAGGAAGCCGCGGCCGCGGCGGGTGGCGCCGGCTGGGGCAGGGCTGCCCAGGGCGGCGGGGACACCCGGGCTGGGCTGGGGGGCCGGGGCCACCGCCGGGAGGGTCGGGGGTCCCGTTCGGGGCCGGCGGGCACTTACCGCCTGCTGGAGCGGGGCCCCGCCGCCGCCTCCCGCCGCCTCCGCGCCGCTCCGGGGCTCGGCGCTGCCGCCGGCGGCCGGGGCTCGGTAGCCGGGGCCGGGTGGTGCCGCCGCCCCCTCGGCGTCGGCCGGCGCGGTCCCCGGCGGGTCCCGGCTCTGCCCCGCTCTGCCCGCGGGCCCCCGCCGCCGGCTGCTGCCGCTGCCCATGGCCGGAGCCGCGGGAGCCGCCGCCTCTCCCGGCCGGGGCGGGAGCGGCGCTCGGCGGTCCGGGAGCCTTTCGGGGGGAGAATCCCACCCCGGAGCGCCCCGGGGCCGGGGGAGGGAGCGGCGGCGCCGGGGAGGGTGCGCGGCCGGCTCTGATCGCGGTTCTGGGCAGGCTGCCGCCCTCCCCTGTCCCTTCCAAAAGTTTCCAGCCCAGCCCGTTAGCTCGGGCCTCCCAAGCACCAGATCCTTACAGACATCTCCCCGGGCTGCGGGAGGACAGTGCTGTCATCCTCGGGGGCCATGCAGCAGGAGCAGCACTCCTGGGCTACACTTTAGCACAGCTCTCACGGACGGGTCCTGCAGCGAACAGCCCAGCCCGGGGGATGTCCCCGGGGCGGGTTTGCGGCGCTGAGTGCGGTCCGGCCGTGTGCCTGGGTTACAGGGAAGCCCCCGGGCAAGGGATGAGCCAGCCGGGCAGGCCTTTAGCCGATGGCCACAGACGAGCCACTCTGCTTCCCGACAGCCTGTCTAGCCTGTGGAGCTGATCCCCCAGCCGACCTCGGCTGCTCTTTGCTTCCAGCAGTTCAATATTTGCACACTGTTCGACAGTGGAAGATTATAGATATTAAAGGCAAGGCTGTCATTCCCTCCAGGGACGAAGGGCACGGGAGTACAGTGTCTGCTTGGTGTCCAGCCTGTTCTACCTCCCTTCTTTTCAAGCCAGAGGCTGATAAAGGCAGGAGGCACAGAGGTGTAATTCCTTTTGCTGCTCCTCGGCACTGACTGCAATGATTGCATCTACCAGTCAGTCACTCTGCTGGTTCTTCCTGAACCACTGACCTAAAGCCCAAGAATTTGAAGTGGAGGGGGCTGAAGCAAAGAAGGCAACGAGAGGTCAGATCATTGCCAGAGAGATGAGCTCACAGCAATGGGGACTTACAAGAAAGATGGGGACAGACTTTCTACTAGAGCATGTATTGATAGGACAAGGAGTAAGGTTTTAAACTAAAAGAGGGCAAATGTAGACCAGATGTAAGGAAGATATTTTTTTAACAAAGAGGGTGGTGAAACACTGGCACAGGTTGCCCAGGGAGGTGGTAGATGCCCCGTCCCTGGAAACATTCAAGGTCAGAGCCATGAGGCTCTGAGAGACTGGGTGTACTGGAATGGCAGGGGGTTGAACTAGATGACCTTCATAGGTCCCTTCCCACACAAATTGTGACTGAAGGATGTTCTGGCAGAAGAGTAGATCATCTGGGGGTGTGGGGGTGTGGTGTCACATGCAGAGCCCTGGGTCCAGAGCCAGGTCAGTCACAAAGTTGTTTTGGATCTGAGGCAGGTCTTGGAGAAAGGAGAAATGATGAGGCCTGGTTGCTGAGGAGGAGATGGTGGAGCTGAATATAGGATGAAATAGCCCCAAACAAAATGTCCCAAGGGGAACAGGCTCTGCAAGCATCAGAGACAAAAATTCTTCTCAACAAGAAGTGAGCAAATTCCTCCTCCTCCTCCATCCCTGTTGGCTGTCTCTGAGGGAGTGGAGCCTCCTGGAAAGTTTCCTGGCTGCCCCCATGGAAACAGTTCATTCCAGGACAGTTCCCCAGATTCACTTGGAAGCAATGCTGGCTCCATAAACCAGCTGTCAAAACGAGCCAAACCTTGTGTTTTGAAGCAGATCATTGCTGGAGCCAGGAAAGTGTTTGAGCAGCAGTGATCCCAAATGATGCTGTGGTTTAGTAGTGACACTGAAAGGCTCTGAGGCCATTCAGTGATATTTCCCTGCCCCTAAAGGACTGGTGAGAATTAAAGAGAAAATTTCCCAAAAGCTAAAGGCCTAATAAGCACATGACTCCTCAGAAAAATCAATTAAAATTGGCAAATTCCTTTTTATGACTGCTTGGTGCCTTTTAAGACCATTTCCCAGCAGGGCCAGTGGATAGTGTTTTGGCTGATGTTCAAGAGCAAGGGTGGAAGTGTGTAGTACAAGTGCCAAATATGGCATGTGGATCAATTTTGCATGGCACCCAGCCAGACCAGCAAGGAGCCAGAATCCTTCACATCAAAAGCACAGTGTTGAGGGAGGCAACAGTGCTGCCTCCTGGCTTTTCCCAAATCCTGTGGAAGCCCAGGAGCTCTTCTGGACAATGATGCTGGAGTTACACCGTAGATGGCCTCTTCTTCTGACTCCTGCTGTGCTGGCATTCTCAGCCTCTGCTTTGGGAAAGAAAAGGATGTATGCTATGGATGCCTGCTGTTAGCACCCTTCAATCATGCCTTCTAATAAAAGATTTAATTAGAGAGATAAATGTATACATGCATATATACCCACTTTTATACTTGTACATATTTACACCCAAGTCTTTCTAAACCATCACATTTATTTGAGGAAAGTGGGATTATTTTAAGATTACCATTATCCATTGAAGCCACTAGCACTTCTTTATCCTGCTGTAGAATTTGACTGGTCTTTTATGAGCAAAAGCCAAAGTGAAGTTGGGGCATGCAATTGCCTGGACAAAATGTGACTTTCAGATCTTATTTTCAGATTGCTCAGTCCCCACATCTGCGACTAAACCATACTGTTAATTCATACCTGACTCTACCTCATGCCATGTCTCATCCTATCCCCAGACTACAGGCAGGAGTGTCACCCCTCTCTCCTGACAGTCTTCCATCAGTGAAGAGAAAGGGCATGTGAAAAATTGCAGCCAGCTCCAGCAGCATTTTTTGTTCCCTGCCTTCTCCCCAGTCCATGGTTGCTGTGGGATGATCTCACAGACCCTATCCTACATCTCACTTTAACCTCAAAGGGAGACCCTCTAGTTCAGACTTGTTCTTTGTTACAGCCAAGGAATTGTTGTTCTTCTGTGATGCAGAGCCTGAGCTTTTTGCTTCCTCAGGTCTTTGGTCTCTTGTCTTCAACTCCTGGAGCAACCAACCCTCTGGGCACAGGACAGATCTCCATGGCTGTAGCCAGTCCAAGTCCAGCCCAGCCCAACCTGGCACTCAGCAGTGTTGGTGCCAGGCAGGGATGGGGAAGATGGAAGAACATACCCCTGCCCCACAGACATGTTCCCCTGGCAGGGAAAACACCCCAAGAAGATCCCAGCACCAGAATTTGGGAGGGGCGTTGTGCTGGGCTGTGTTGCTGCTCACCCTGGTGAGGGTGATGGGCACCGGCAGCACTCCCAGGAGTTATGATGGGAGCCCCAGAGAGCCAAACACGAGAAGTTTCTTTGCTGGGTAAAATATCAAGCTCCCTCCAATGTAACAATCAAAACAGAACCTGGGGAACTGGGTTTTTCCCACTTTTTGTTCCCACCAGAAATTTTCTAAGCTATTTCCAGTTAGCTCACCGAAGGAGCTGATCTTGTAACAATATATATCACAGCACATGTGTTTAGATTTAGTTTTCTTTCCTAATACTTGGTATGTTTTCAGCAAGGCTTCAACAAAGATAGATGCAGTCCCTTGTCATAACAGTTCTGGAAAACTGTGAGGGTTTTTTTGTGGTCACCTATATTAACCACAAAAAGGATTCAAATTCAAAGTTGAATACATAAGGTCAGAATGGATCTCTCCCTCTTGCTTGCTGACTGAAAAGGTGATTTCTCCCATGCTTCCCAGGCATCCTTCACAGAATATCCACTTCTCTGGAATGTAGCATGGGGAAATGCTGCTCCTGCCTGGCTGTCCTCCACTATGGCATGGATGCTGGCTGACCACTGCCAGGACCTGGACACTCCTGCCTTGCACTGTGAGGACACCATGGCACGTTTGGAGAGAGCCTGGAAAGCTTGGTACAGACTTTCACTATGGATTTGTTAGAAGAAGCCCAGTGAATGTCCATCAGAAGGTTGTTTAGATTTCAAACTAGCTTTTGCCATGCTCTGAGAAGAAAACAGTAAGATTTAGTCTCTATGGAACAAGCAGGAAAACCTTCATTTCCCCACTGCAAATTGCTGGATTGGTGTTACCCTTCAGTGAACAAGTTTATATATTAATCTGCCTTTCTAACATTAACTTGTGTGTAGCAAAGGCAATGTGTACCTTGCTCAAAGCAGAGCCAGCATCCATCACTTGGCTTTCCAAATGTTTACCCAGATAACATCTTCACTTGGGTTTTCTTACAGTTCTGACCCAAAACCTTCTGAAAAATTTATTTCTAATGTTGACAGCTCTTCAGGTATTTGCTTTGATGCAGAGACCTTATATCTGGTGGGTCTGTGCCATGTCCTGAGCTGATGTGCTGTGAAATTCAGTGGATGGAAAAAGCTGGACTTGAGAAAGAGGACTGAGCCAGTGTTGTCTGCCTGGGGACCCAAACGGGGAGTGGGAGGAGGAAATTTGCTTCGCCTCCACAAGTTCCCCAGAGAAAAATAACTGCAAGAGAGAGGCCATTGAGATGCAGAGAAGAAAGGTCCAAGAGGCTGAGTTGGAAGGTGAGGGTTAGGAGTTAATGTTCCTAAACCTGTTTCATCTCTGCTCCCTCACGCTGCACACACCTTTCCTGGCTGAGAATGAGCTGGAAAGGTGGGTGCTTTGCAGCAGGGGAGATCAGTTCCCTGACTGAGGAGCCACCCTTCAGCAGCTGTGGGCAGGATGCAGCAGGGAAGCCACAGCTGGAGGGGGGAGGGAGGTTGCCCTGGTGTGATTAATGGGCTTTGGCCCAGGGCTGGAGTTTGACTCATCTAACTCACAAAAAACCTGCTGAGAACAGATGTTTAAATATAAAAGCATATTTTTTAGGAGTGTTCTTTCAACACATCTTGGATTTTACTGCAACCTAAGCATCGCCAGTAAATACTTCTTTTCTCCCTGCTTCCCACATTTCAAGGGATGGTCTCTGCTTTGTTCAAAACCACAAAGAGTAAAGACTCAGCCCAGCAAAGAGTTGTCTTTCGTGTCTCCCACCATGCTGTTCTCCTGCCATCTTTCCTTTGGGAGCACAGAGGGCTTTGGTGCCTTTCCACCAGCAGCAGCTGCAGCCGGCTCCTGCCCGAGCG